CAATTGAATTTAATTCAATATGTACCAATTTGTCCAAACGAATTCGCATTCGAAAGAAATGGCCAAGGAATGCATTGAATTCGTGCTAACGAATTGAAAAAAATTAAAGGCTCAAAACTTGTCCAGTGAATTGGTACGGATAGAAGGTTCGGAAGTTCAATACAGTTTTCACGAATTCAGGAAAATTGCATCATGGCTCCAATTCGTATTTGTCACAAAGCGGGATTCACGAAAGCTCTTTGTGAATTCTTTTTAATTCATTTCAATTAGTTTTCGTTTACTGGGAAGCGTGGACCCATAGTTTTTGGGTATGAATTCATGCGTTTGAAGCGTGACTATAGTCATGCGAAATTAGTATAGGTAGTGTCATACTATTAAAGCTAGATTTTTCTTTCCGTGCAGCCACACTAATACTGACTCACTGCTGTGCGTGAGAAAATAACCGAGTTAGCCCTCCTCCCAGTGGGCGAAAAACCATCATTGTTTTAAAAACGTTCCAAAAACGTTTTTAGAACGTTTCATGTCTGCCAAATAATGTTCCGAAAACTTTCCATTGTTTTTAAAACGTTTTAGAAACATATAACGTTTTTGGGACGTTATTTGGCAGTCATGAAACGTTCTAAAAACGTTTTTGTAACGTTTTTAAAACAATGATGGTTTTTTGCCCACTGGGCTGTCTCTATTCTTCTTGTTCCGGGCACAAAAATTAGTACCATTCGATTAAATTATATTTTACATAATCAATCAGCTCTTTTTAGGGCTATCAAAAATGAGCTTTATTTACAATCAGCCCTTTTTAGGGCTAACAAATAAGTTGCATTTTGGCCTTATACTACCTTCCATTTTTTGTATTTTTACATTCTCATCACATGAGAAAGTATTAGTTTTGGTCAAAAATTGACTTTTGCTAATTTTATGAAATCTTTACGTTTTGGGGTCCCCTGAACCCGAAAAACATGGTCCGGCGAGTACGTCTGTCTGTGTGTCTGTCTGTATGTATGTCCGTTTGTAGACCAAAATGTTGTTGACACAATAACTTTTGAAAACTTATCTGATAGTTTTTAAATTTAACACACTTAAAGTTGGTGTAAAAATGAAGGCTAAGTTCGTTAACCAGCCATTTTCGATAAAAACTACAAAAACTACAGTAGTTTGTTAAAATTTTTATAAATGTCTGTAGTTCACAAAATATAATAAAGTGGATATTTTAAATATTAAAAAATTAAGGTCCTTTCAAAAAACTTCAATTATTATTAACAAAATATTACAACATTTAAAAAAAAAATTGATAACTCAAAAGCTGTTTACAATAAAGTAATAAAACTTACAATAATTACACAAATATGTCCACTTTTTCAAATGAAAATATTTGCATGATTGTAAACTTAAAAATTTTATATTTTTAATAACAATTTTATGAACAATTTGAATTATTTATATATTTTACCCCTCCAATTGCAATGGAACTCATAGGAAGTGTACTCAGTAGTTTCTTCTGGAAGGCTAGTTTTTATATTTTTAATAACAATTTTATGAACAATTTGAATTATTTATATGTTTTACCCCTCCAATTGCAATAAAACTTATAGGAATTGTACTCAGTAGTTTCTTCTGGAAGGCCCCAACAAAAAATGTTTGGTGTTTTTTATTCACCTTTAGGTATGTTAATTTAAGATATTTAAAGCACTTTCAGATTTTAGAACAATAAATTACGTGTTCTATTATAGCTTATTTTATTATTCTTCATGTATACCCTTTTCGGGTATTTTTTTGTTTTTAATAAATAAAATTAATAAAAAAATGGATTATTTAAGGAATGTATAAAAAAAATTTTTTGAATCCGCCATATTGGATCGGGTGATTTGAAAAATAAATTTTTGACTTTAGATTTGTAAACAGCGCTTCCAAAAATCGCCCTTGATGTTGTTTTAGAATATTTACTTCAAAGATGTAGAAAATCAAAAATTTGAACCCGCCATATTGGATCAAAAATTTTGAAAAATGAATTTCTGATATCAGATTTATGATAAACGATCGAAAATACCCCCGAGTAAGAAAATTTTTTTGAATTTCCGGCAACATTTATGTGATAAGACCTTGGATACATTGTGGTGCATTTTTATAACCCACTTTAAACATCCGCCATTTTGAAAATTTTTGAAAATTAAATTTTTGTCAAAGTGCTATCTTATAGTGCAGCTAAAAATGAAGACAAATGTGACCTGGAGAATTTTTTGCATGAAAATTAAAAAAGTTATGAATTTTTTTTAAAAAGTGCTTTTTTCCTATGTATTTTCAATGGGAAATTTCGATCGATTACTGGCACGAGTTAATATTAATTAATCGGCTTCAAATTTTGGGAAAAATTTTTTTTATTTTATTGGAACCAAACTGGGGGTGGAGTAAACAAAATTCGAAAGTCGCATTTTTACGGATACCCTATAGTGTAGATACAAAGTAGTTATCAATTTTGAACATGAAGAAAGTGCTCGTATACGAGGCGTATGATTATTTCCCTAATGTCATTTGACCGAACTCTCATTTTACCGAATTGCATTTATCTGAACTGTTATTTTATCGAAATGTCGCTTTTGCGAATCGACATTTTTACGAATTGCCACTTTCGCAAAATATCATTTTTACAAATTGTCATTTTTACGAATCGTAATTGTTCCGAAATGTCATTTTTTCGAACTGGCATTTTTACGAAATGTCACTTTTGTAAATCGACATTTTTACGGATTGTCATTTCTGCGAAATATCATTTTTACTAATAGTTATTGTTCCGAATTGTCATTTTCTCGAATTGTCATTTTTGCGAAAATTGCTATAGTAAATCTATATATATGCATACATGTTTACTATAGCAATTTTCCCAAAAATGACAATTCGGAACAAAGACATTTTGTACGAAAGACAATTCGAAAAAATGACAGTTCGCAAAAGTGACAATTCGTGAAAATGTCGATTCAAAAAAATGACATTTTGGAACAATAACTATTTGTAAAAATGACAATTCGTAAAAATGATATTTCGCAAAAGTGACAATTCGTAAAAATGTCGATTAAAATGTATGTAATAAAAAAGGTCACAAAAAAGTCACAAAAGTGACATTTCGTAAAAATGACAATTCGAAAAATGACATTTCGGAACAATTATGATTCGTAAAAATGATATTTCGCAAAAATTGCAATTCGTACAAATGGCAATTAAAATGTATGCAATAAAAAAGGTGTATTTTATTGAGACCTACAACTTTTGTAAACAACACTTTTTGAAATTTGGTTGGGGGTTGTTATATCGGAAGAATATCCAAAACGAGTACGAGCGCAGCGGAAAACCAAGAAGCTAATTGTTATTTTTGTATAATTAAAAATTGTATATTTTTCTGTAAATTTAATTAAAATAAATTCAAAATATGACCAGTTTAGTTTTAGTTTCTAATCCGAAAAACCATGGGACTCCACCCTTACCGTTCTAGGCCAAGAAACTAGGCTAGGCTGCGCATGCGCAGCGGACGATAAAGGATACTTTCTCGGCCTAGGACGGTAAAGCTGATGCTTGAAGCGCCTGGACTGCTTTGCGTCCTTGGTGCATAATGTTCTATTAATCAAAACAAACTATTTTAATCACGGGAATTAATTATTCATTACCTACAAGTAAATTTAAAAAGTCAAACTGAACTCATGAAAATAACTACTCGGGGGTTTTCGGGATTGGTAGGGGAAGTGCGCCGGTTGTGGGCACCCCTACGTAAACTTTGACAGCAAAAAGATTTTACTGATCTAAGTATTGCAAGTCGTGTTCGTTGACAATACGGTCTTTTCCTATTGATAACGAAACAAATATATGCATTTGTGTAATAGCTGTGAGCATAATAAAGAAAATTTGCATTAAATAAATAAAAAAGTAATTTTGTATTGTTTTCGAAGAGCAACATATGGGTGTAGATTCGTTCAGAAAAAAAGGGTTTAATTTTTTTTTTGCAGTGCTGTTATTATATTTTGTGATTTACCTTCGTGTTTAACCAAAATCCTGCATCACAAAATGTGTTGATCTTTTTAAAAAATGACTGTCATTCCCGATTGTGGGCACCTTTATGTTAAGGAGGCTCTACCATCTGACAATGATGTGGACTACTGTCTCATCTATCTAAACTTTCTGCCAAGGAAAGTGACAGCCGCAAACTCCATTAAATGCGATGAATATAGTCGTTCATTGCATTAGAAGTGCGTCATGGTATGCGTACTAGCTACTTCACATGCAAGCATTATGCTTTTGTTAGCGATGAGCATAGTGTGAAAACGTGTCATCATTTTTGTTCTTTATCCCGGCAAATTCTCTTAAAATAAAGAAACTTTCATTTCTTCTTTATTTGTAATGGTTTCCTTTAATATTTTTTCATTTTAGCGGATTTTTCAAGGGTGCCCACAACCGGGTACAAAAATTTTTTTGTCAAAAAATTTCCATTTCACTAAATTTCTAATAAAACTTTTTTATTTAAAGGAATCAATTTAATTCCTTCACTAACAGTCATCTTAGACCTCTAGCTTTAAATTCGTACACATACATTTGTATAATATACACAAATATGAGGCAAAATATAATGAGGCAAAAACAAAAGGGTGCCCACAACCGGAACTCTTCCCTTAATTACAAATTATTTAAAAAATATTTAAAAATGTTTTTAATTTTTGTTTTAAACTTTCATTTTTTTAAATTAAAAGAACATTTCATATTTTTAAACAAGTAAGAATGCTAAGCACAGATGAGAATGTGTCCGCCAATAAGGGCTGGCAGATTTTTTTATTAAAGGATTAGTACTTCTTTTTAGATTACCAAAATAAAAAATTTCAGAAAAAAGGGGGAAATTGAATGAGCACCGCTGTCCATTCCGCCATGCAATGTCCATTAATTAATAAAAAAATGTTTTCTAATTATGATTCGTAAAAAGGACCTATAAAGAAATATAAATTAATAAACCTATAAATGTTACTTACATCCTCGTTATTTATGTAATGAACTTCGTCAAAAATAACGTATTCCAAATCTCGGAGAACTTCAGAGGCGCAATACAACATTGATAATAAAATTTCTGTAGTCATTATTAAACATGAAGCAGTTTGATTTATTTGTAAATCTCCAGTAATGAGTCCAACATTATCAAATTTTTCTTTGAATTCACGAAACTTTTGATTAGACAATGCTTTTATAGGCGAGGTATAAATGGTCCTGCAAAAATAACAGTTAATTAGAGAATTTAGCAGCTGAAGAGATCATGCATCTAATAATGAATATAATATAATAATAATATAATATATTAATATTATATTATATTATATTATATACACGGAGAGAAAGGAATAGTTGACACATCCAGATATGGGTGATTCTCCAAAAAACCTCATTTTGCATGTAATCAAGATTTTCTAAATAATTATAATCATTTGGGAAAATACCAAGTCATATTTCCCTATTTTATCACTTTTTCTAAATGTTCTGCAAGAAAAAGTTGTAAAATTTTATTGTTTAATACATTTTTAAAATATTTTACCACCTCAAAATCGATTTTCTAACCTGTCATCTAAGTGCTTTTCATTTTTTCAATAGGTAAAACAATTATTTAAAACATGAAAATTGGTACTTTATTAATTTTTTCTAAAAGTTATGATATTTAAGAATAATTTTCAAAAATATAAATAAAATATGTCGTGTAGTTTTTTTAAATATAGAAAATGAAATTTGTCATGTAGTACCGCGTCATTCCTCTCACTCGTTGAATATTATCCAATATTTTTGCTGTGGGTAGAGATATTGCTTAATTATTGTGATCAATATTTAAATTAACATCTCTAATATTAATTTCTTAAGTTACTTTTTAAAAAATGTCATTATTTTGCGTTAAAAAAATTAAAATTGAGACATAAGCAGAGATTCACAACCTAAAGCGTCATTCCTCTCACCCCTAATAAAAACAATATTAATATATATAAATTGATCGCAAATTTTTTTCACATAAAGTTATCCTTTATAAACATGATAGGGCATTCTAAGCTGGAGGAAAATTATTTGTCAATTAAATAAAATTAAAAAATGTTGAAATCGTCATTCCTCTCACCCGTCATTCCTCTCACTTTTTTGAATAAAAATTAAAAATTGATATGATTGTCGGTTGTTTACAAACTGCCAGTGAAAAGTGAACCTAAAATGTATGAAAAATAATTTTTGACAATTGTTTAAAGAGATTTTTGATAACTGTAAGTATTTCAAAATCTATAAAATTTACAGATAATATTAATAAATTATAATTTTTAAATAATTTTTTGTAAATAGAAAAATATATATAATAAAAAACGCCGGCGCCAAATTTTAACCTCTTAATTTTTTTGTAAATTTTAATTTAAAATATATACTTTAAAAGCTAAAAGTTAGCATGATCATGCTATAGAGGTGGTAGATTTTTGAAAGCTCAATATAATTGACTGCATTAATCCATAAATAATAATTTTTTTTCTTTTCTGTTTGTAACTCACAAAAAGGAGTATTTCGGGAGAATCACCCATATATGAATATCACAATCATATTATATTGAAAAATACAGGATATCCATAGTAAGTACATTTTATTATAATAAATTAAATTTGAATTCACACATTTTAGACACAACAAAATTTATACAGACTTATTCTTTCTTGTAAAACAAAGATAATAAATACAGTCAACTCTACCAATAGTGCTGCTATCAATAGTGCCACTTCTCCTCTTTCTCGCTCGAGCTCTACCCCCACTTTAGCGACTCTAGCACGGCTTCTGAATTTCGAGTTTCCCCTAAGAGAGAAATATACAAACAGTGGGGGTACTACAGTTCCAAGAGAAGTCGTAAACGCTGTGCAATTTTGCGGCACTATTGATAGAGTTGACTGTATTTCATATTATAATTAAAATCATTTAATTTTTAAGTAAAAATTCATTAAATATCCCAAACTATTAAGAAAAGGTAATTATATACCTAACAATTATATTTGTGTCTGAATTCGCAGGATCGAACCCTCTTAAAATTGGAACCCATTTATATTTTACAATAAACTATATTTAATTATACCATTTACTAACTAAAACAACGATTTTTTGTGTAAAGTGCAAATGTATTTGCAATTTATTACAATTTAAAAATGGTAAATTTGATTTTAAAGACTTTTATCAAATCTAAATATCCTATGTAAACATAACCTCAAAATCAAACTAACATCCGGTCCTTATATTGTCCATGTGGTCTGTCTTTGACCGTTCTCGTGTGCAGTTCTGTACAGTTCTAAACGATTATTTTTGTGAGTCTATCTCACTACGAATAAGAGAAAATTTTGATACTGTTCTAAATTCTACTGTTCTAAATCAAATATCTTGAATATATTCATCAGTTTCATCAATTTTATAAAGGACCACAAATTAAAACTAAAGTGGTCTCTGATTTGTATTGAGAACGAATATTTTGGAATTTGGTGGCATACAGTTATAAATTTGTATACAATTGATTAAATGAGAAACCAAAGTGGACCCTAATTGCGTCTGGAACGAATATTTAGAAAACCAGTTTACACATTGCATTTTCATGGAGTAATAATTGATTCAACTTCAACTGAGTACGTACATTGAGGAAAATATATTTAACCTCACAAGGACAGCTATATTTCAATCAACAAAGGTAAAGTCGTTCCTGATTTTATTTACTAAACTTAAACTCATACTTCACACCTTCCCTCTCACTTCCTCTCGGGCTGTTGATAATCACAATCTCAATAACATCAATATAATAATAGCGACTTTGAGTTGCTTATTAAGATTCTCTACTACAATTATTTGAAATTATTTGAGACTGTGAATAGAAATATTTCATGGTAAATGATTTGATTTGATAGAATTTTATTCCATGTAATTAAAACCAAATATATATATATTTGGTCAATATATGATACATTCACACAATTAATTATTTTATATTATTTTAACACATCCTTAAATTTGTAAACATAGCCCATATAGAGGAAGAATTTTTGTTATATTATTTTATATAATTCACATACATTTTACATTTTAACAATTAATCAATAATTATGGTTTTAAATACTCTCTATTTGAGCGTTACTATTTAGACCTATATGGTAGGAGTGTTTACTTAAAATCGATTGAGTTTTAAATTAAATATTGATTAACTAAATACCATTCGGCATTCGAAACCAACCCAGGATCCGGACTCTCTCTGTCTCTATTTTCTTATTTTAAGGGTCAACATGGCTCCAACACCAAAGAAAAAAACACATGAGATAACATCAACTATACCCTCCTCAACGGAGCAAGCCGCCCCAACCACATCCATCGGTAGAGGTCGCGGCAGAGCAACAATAATGAAGCACTCAGCGGAGAGGCCGACCCTGAGACCAGGTTTGGCAGCAGCAATCATGAAAGACTTGACAACGAATTCACCCTTGATATCTAAAACCCACGGGCCTAGCATCACTAACACTGACCTCACAACTAAACTCTCTTCACCCCTACTTTCAACAGAAAAAGCCACAGAAAAACCCTTTGACGACAACAATAACAACAATGACAACAGTATCGGGTATAATGAAAGTATTGGGGATCCGACTAAACCCTGTTCACTCCCTTCACCTACCTCAGAGGAATCTAACATACATAATCTCTCCTCTTCATCCGACTCACATCTTTCCACATCCTCCTTCCCCCCCTCTAACAATAATAAACATTTTCAAAATCAAAATTCCAACCAAAATCAGAAATCAAAACAAAATACTTTTCAAGATTTTTCTTTGGACTCAGCTCCGATCTCTTACGATCTCTTGTGGATAAATAAGGATTTCACAAACGATGCGAGATTCATAGAAAACTCCCCTCCTCCATATACAATCCTTATTGAATCCACTATTCCAGAGAGAAAAATTGGCAAATATAACAGGATTGCCTTTGCCGATTATCTGGAGTCTCTCGTGAGTGACTCGGAAAGAACTATAGTTTCTAACGGTTTAAATCAGTTGCGCGTTACATCCTCCAGTGACTCTTTAGCAAATGATCTTCTGGATTCAAACTCACTTCGCGAGAAAGGTTATAAATCATACATCCCGACTTCTTTGGTCAGTAGAAAGGCCCTGGCCCATGATGTTGATCAGAATCTGTCTCCTCTTATGATCAGCACCAGGTTGTCGCGGGACACTTTGTCTTATATTATTTCTATACGGCGTAGAACAAAAAATGAGGCTGAAATTTCAGGTCTTGTTGAATTCTTTATTTCAGGTGTGTCTATTCCTGATACAATTTCGATTTCTGGGGCTGTCTTTAAGTTGTCATTAATAGTTACTCCACCAAAAAGATGCTATAAGTGTCAAAGGTATAGACATCTCCTTCCTCAATGCCGTTCTACACACTTTACGTGTGAAAACTGCTCTGAATCACATCATAAAAAAAAATTTCACAATCTATTACGTAATGCCCGCTGTTCCAATTGTCACGGTCAACATTTAGCTTCATCTAAAGATTGTGAGTTTTATAAATTTGAATATACCATCATGAAATGCAGACTAGAACTGAACATAGGCTATGAGGAGGCAGAATCTTACTTACTATCCCAAGGAATTTCTCGCCCAGGATATGAAATAATTTGGGAACAGATATTGGACTCTAATCAACCTAAAATCACTGAACCTTTAGATCTTCCAACTCACCCAATAGCTCCCAATGACCTGATGACGATTATGCCTCCCCCAGATGATGAGGTTAACACCATGTTGGTAGACATTGCCGAATCAAATTGAAATTGAATTGAACTTATTGAATTGAATAATTAAATTAAATTGATATATTATACTTAGGAGAAATTTTATTATTATTTTAAAGTTTACACGTTTAATTGTTTGGTCTTTGTTTGGTTTGTATTTTGTTTTTCGTTTATTGCTGAACGCTGGTTACAGAATTTTAGAATTTTTGAATTTTAATCATTAACATTGGTGATTTTGCATTGTTAACAGGACTCTTTGATAAACGAATCAAACATATTTTAATTCTATATATACTGTAAAATTTTATTAAATTGACTGATACACTTTTATCAAAATATATATAATTTTGCAAGATCATACAGGATTTATACTGACTTGAGTGATTATATGACAATACTTAGGCTTCCTTTTATACTTTACACTTGGACATAATTTATTCTG